TTTGACTAACTTGTTACGCAAGCAAGTAAAGTTTCAGTGGACACAAGATTGTCAGAATGCTTTTCAGAACCTAAAGGGCATATTGTCCACCTCACCTATTCTTGCTAGTCCCCAATTTGATAAACCGTTTATATTACACATTGATGCGTCAGATGTTGGAATAGGTGCTGTGCTTATTCAAGTTGGTTTAGACAAGATTGAGCATCCTGTGTATTATTACTCTAGAAAATTTAATGCAGCTCAGAGAAATTATTCCGTGGTAGAAAAGGAGGCGTTGGGTCTTATATTGTCAATTAAGAAGTTTGAGATTTACTTATCAGGAAACAAAGTGTTAGTATTTACAGACCACAACCCCCTTATCTTTATAAATATGATGAAAGTCAAGAACCAACGAATTCTGCGCTGGTCATTGTTTTTGCAGGAATTTAATGTAGAAATCAAACATATTCCAGGCAGGCAAAATGTTATTGCTGATGCTTTGTCAAGAAGTTTTGATGTACCATAAATGAAATGTTTCTTTTCACTTAACATTTTTACTTCGGAAAAAATGCCATTGATCTTCAATCCATTGCATTTTTTTTCTTGGAGGTGGAAGTGTTACGTACTCCTATAAGATACGTAAGTAAATAAATTAATATGTACATTTATAATTGTGTGTAAATTACAAGCATGTATATTGATATACTTATATATTCTATGCAAACGTACATTCATGTTACAGTGTTGGCGTTAGGCCCAACGTATCGTGGGAATGATTGTTTTATTTCTTTGTGTGCTCAGTTTTCCCACGGGAACTAATGATTTATATGTGATCATATGTGGGTAACAGAGGTGAAATATAATTGAGTGAACTGTATCTGGCAAATTGTCGTGGGACCGTCCGTTGCTGGGTGTGCATGCCATTATTCCCTTCTGTATGCATATTTTAATTACTATGTAAAGAAATAAGTACCTTATTTTTGTATATCAATATGTATTAATTATTCATTAAGTTAGTTTAAGATTACTCTTGTCACAATGTATTGCTCCAGTGTTGAAATAATAAATATTGTAACTTTGGCAAATTGTTCGCGGGGCAAGGCAATGTGTTTTGACTCTCGCGTTATGTTATTCAGTAGCTCATCCGGAACCAGAGAGATAACATCTAGTGGAGTTAAGTTATACATTTTTGTTCTGTCATAGCCATACATATAATAATATTGATTTAATGTCTGGAAGATACAGTGATATTTTTAATGTGATATATTGTGACCAAATAATCATCTGTTTGCTATTGAGATTTATTTAATATATCTTTATATAAGATTTTGTATCTATTCTTCAGTCCTAAGGAAGATTTATTATTGTGCTCATTACTTATCAAGGGGTTATACTGGTGATTCGCTATTGAGAACAGCAGTTGTCTCGTATCCCTAGACGTAATTAAAGTTTGGCTGCTGTAGGGTCACGAGCCGTAACGAACGATAGGTAACACCCACCTCCTTGGCTCACCTCCAAGAAAATAATTCTCAAATCACTTTAAACCATATGTTAAAAAATATTTCTTATCCATCTAGGACATTTTGCGAGAATTCCCATGACAGAAAAATTCTTTGTGTAATTATTGCTTCTAATTATTAATTGGAAGATTAAATGTTTTTTATTAGGAATTCTGATGTATTTTTATGAGTTAATTTTCCATTAAATTAATTGACTAAAACGTCGGGTTAGTTAATGAGGTTGTTTGGTAGTTAAGGAAGAGTATGATGCAACACTGCTTCACTCACACACTGTTGCTTCACTCACATACATTGTTGCTTCACTCTCACACACTGTTGCTTCACTCACACACACTGTTGCTTCACTCACATACATTGTTGCTTCACTCTCACACACTGTTGCTTCACTCACACACACTGTTGCTTCACTCACACACACTGTTGCTTCACTCACACACACTGTTGCTTCACTCACACACACTGTTGCTTCACTCTCACTCACACTGTTGCTTCACTCTCACTCACACTGTTGCTTCACTCTCACTCACACTGTTGCTTCACTCTCACTCACACTGTTGCTTCACTCACACACACTGTTGCTTCACTCTCACACACTGTTGCTTCACTCTCACACACTGTTGCTTCACTCTCACACACTGTTGCTTCACTCACACACACTGTTGCTTCACTCACACACACTGTTGCTTCACTCTCACACACTGTTGCTTCACTCTCACACACTGTTGCTTCACTCTCACACACTGTTGCTTCACTCTCACACACTGTTGCTTCACTCTCACACACTGTTGCTTCACTCTCACACACTGTTGCTTCACTCTCACACACTGTTGCTTCACTCTCACACACTGTTGCTTCACTCTCACACACTGTTGCTTCACTCTCACACACTGTTGCTTCACTCTCACACACTGTTGCTTCACTCTCACACACTGTTGCTTCACTCTCACACACTGTTGCTTCACTCTCACACACTGTTGCTTCACTCTCACACACTGTTGCTTCACTCACACACACTGTTGCTTCACTCACACACACTGTTGCTTCACTCACACACACTGTTGCTTCACTCACACACACTGTTGCTTCACTCACACACACTGTTGCTTCACTCACACACACTGTTGCTTCACTCACACACACTGTTGCTTCACTCACACACACTGTTGCTTCACTCACACACACTGTTGCTTCACTCACACACACTGTTGCTTCACTCACACACACTGTTGCTTCACTCACACACACTGTTGCTTCACTCACACACACTGTTGCTTCACTCACACACACTGTTGCTTCACTCACACACACTGTTGCTTCACTCACACACACTGTTGCTTCACTCACACACACTGTTGCTTCACTCACACACACTGTTGCTTCACTCACACACACTGTTGCTTCACTCACACACACTGTTGCTTCACTCACACACATTGTTGCTTCACTCACACACATTGCTTCACCCACCACCAGTCAGCAGCTGGGTGTCCCCACCACCAGTCAGCAGCTGGGTGTCCCCACCACCAGTCAGCAGCTGGGTGTCCCCACCACCAGTCAGCAGCTGACAGCTGAGTCCCCACCACCAGTCAGCAGCTGACAGCTGTGTGTCCCCACCACCAGTCAGCAGCTGACAGCTGTGTATCCCCACCACCAGTCAGCAGCTGACAACTGTGTGTCCCCACCACCAGTCAGCAGCTGACAGCTGTGTGTCCCCACCACCAGTCAGCAGCTGACAGCTGTGTGTCCCCACCACCAGTCAGCAGCTGACAGCTGTGTGTCCCCACCACCAGTCAGCAGCTGACAGCTGTGTGTCCCCACCACCAGTCAGCAGCTGACAACTGTGTGTCCCCACCACCAGTCAGCAGCTGACAGCCTAAGGTTACATATTGACCAAGTGTGAGGTCAAGAGGCTCATGCATCACGCTGTCAACAACAGTCAAGGCTGCCCTCTCCCACGAGGCGCCTCCCTCCCGGGGTGCTTCAGACCCGCTAAGTCATTATCTGGAGATGATTTCGGGGCTTTAGTGTCCCCGCGGCCCGGTCCTCGACCAGGCCTCCAACCCCAGGAAGCAGCCCGTGACAGCTGACTAACACCCAGGTACCTATTTTACTGCTAGGTAACAGGGGCATAGGGTGAAAGAAACTCTGCCCATTGTTTCTCGCCGGCGCCTGGGATCGAACCCAGGACCACAGGATCACAAGTCCAGTGTGCTGTCCGCTCGGCCAACTGGCTCCAAAGTGAAGTTCAATAATTGCTTCACGAACGTGAACCACTAACCAAACGTTCAACGAACCCATTGTGTCCGATGAACCCGTTCTCATAAACAAAGGCCAAAAGCCATTCCATCCACCCGCCAACCCCCTGGTGTTTATGATAAACAATATACACACGACTCAACTGCTGAAGTCCGAACACTTGGGGAACAAGTGCTTCACTGACGACTGGTGTTCGAACCACAACGCTGTAAATGCTTCACTCACCTACTACACATAATACCCAACAGACCTAAACACCTGACCTATGCCTATATGTGCACAATATGCTATTATATTAATTTATATTTGAGAACATTTCCGTTTTGAATGGACAGAATGTTAAAATTCATGAATGCGTCTGTGGGGTCGACCGCTGGATGGAATAGACTCGAGTCGATGACGGGTCCGCTACAGGTACATGTAGGCAATCACAATCACAATCAATCAGAAGTGATGATTGTGAAGCCAGCTCAGCCTTGTGGAAACGCTTGGTCCTCCGCGATAGAGCAAAGGTATGCGCTATACAAGATATACCGGAGTGGGAATATGAATGAAGAACGACATAAAATCTCTGAGGGTTATACGTCAATTGACGTAGATCTGTCCGTCGCTGCGGCTAACGTCAGGTGACCCGAGCACCAGACACCTTCAACACATTAGTCCTTAAAAATCCACAAAAAAATAAAGAAAATTCGGTCTTAATAAGATGGTAAAACCTTGTCCATATTGACACGTTAATGAGAAGAATGAACACGTAAGAGTGAACACGTAAGAGTGAACACGTAAGAGTGAACACGGAAGAGTGAACACGGAAGAGTGAACACGGAAGAGTGAACACGGAAGAGTGAACACGGAAGAGTGAACACGGAAGAGTGAACACGGAAGAGTGAACACGGAAGAGTGAACACGGAAGAGTGAACACGGAAGAGTGAACACGGAAGAGTGAACACGGAAGAGTGAACACGGAAGAGTGAACACGGAAGAGTGAACACGGAAGAGTGAACACGGAAGAGTGAACACGGAAGAGTGAACACGGAAGAGTGAACACGGAAGAGTGAACACGGAAGAGTGAACACGGAAGAGTGAACACGGAAGAGTGAACACGGAAGAGTGAACACGGAAGAGTGAACACGGAAGAGTGAACACGGAAGAGTGAACACGGAAGAGTGAACACGGAAGAGTGAACACGGAAGAGTGAACACGGAAGAGTGAACACGGAAGAGTGAACAAAGGTGAGGTACTCACGGCAATGTTCCACTGGGCCCGGAGGTCGTCGCACCACTGTTGGTAGGGCGCCCCACACTGGCCGACCCGGGCCAGGAACTCACTCAGTTCTTTGGCTACTGTAGGATTGCCCTCCACCTGCACCCCTCCGCACTGTAGCCACTCCTGGAAGACAACCACACACCTGGTATTACACACCTGCACACTGTAGCCACTCCTGCAACAATCACACACCTGGTATTACATGCTACAGTGAAGAAGAATGACCAAGGGACATGCCTACATAGAAGTGAGGAACTGAGAGAATCTACCAGTGAAACCATCTGAATATTTGAGAAGTTCGCCACAGACCTGAATGAAATTCAGGAAAATATAAAAATCCATCGAAATTAACAGAGGTCGGCTAAGGAGGAGATTTAAAGCCTCAAGGAAAAATCCCATTGAAAACCAGCATGAGACACTGAGACAACAGGAGTCGCAGAGGGATAAAAGGCAGGGAACCACGCGAGTCTCCGTATTGTCAGTAGAAAAGTACACTAGCCACATGCTGGAAAGGAAAACGAAAACTATGGTTGTCTCAGAGTTCAGGATCAGGAACTCTCCAATCAGGAGTGGGCAAGGAAGGACCAATCAGGAGTGGGCAAGGAAGGACCAATCAGGAGTGGGCAAGGAAGGACCAATCAGGAGTGGGCAAGGAAGGACCAATCAGGAGTGGACAAGGAAGGACCAATCAGGAGTGGACAAGGAAGGACCAATCAGGAGTGGACAAGGAAGGACCAATCAGGAGTGGACAAGGAAGGACCAATCAGGAGTGGACAAGGAAGGACCAATCAGGAGTGGACAAGGAAGGACCAATCAGGAGTGGACAAGGAAGGACCAATCAGGAGTGGACAAGGAAGGATCAATCAGGAGTGGACAAGGAAGGACCAATCAGGAGTCGACAAGGAAGGATCAATCAGGAGTCGACAAGGAAGGATCAATCAGGAGTGGACAAGGAAGGACCAATCAGGAGTCGACAAGGAAGGATGGAACGACAGTAACAAAGATCCTGAAGGGTTCACAAATGGAGTAGCCACCTATCCTGAGAACCTCTATGCTGATAGCTGCACAGAGGTTTTCAGGATAGGTGGCTACAAGAAGGAAAGAAAGCGACTGATAAAGATGATATTCACAAACGAAGCAACAAAGAGGTAATATTAGCCAAGACGAGCAAACGTCTACACAACTGAACACAAAAATGTTTTTCTCCACAAGGATGTGGTTAAGAGAGGGAGAGACAAGGCAACAGAAGCAAGGAAGACGTGGTGAGGAAAGGGAATGGGGAAGCCACAGGTCTCAGCTCGGTAAGTATAGAGCGGAGTGCGGAGCCCTTCACTGGCAAGCTGGCATCCCCAGAGGGTCACCAGCATGGCACGGAAATAGGCTAAGATCAAGATGGTCTTGAGGCGTGGCCCTACTGCTAAGAAAGGCCATCCACCGAAGAGGTGGATGTCGTAGGCTGTGAAGGGTTCAGAGACCACATAACAGGCACCTTAACAATGGGAAGATCATGTATGAGGAGTCATAAATACCTCGACAATAAATGCCAGAAGACCCAGGCAAGGGTATTACAGGTGAAGCATGGCAGTTGCTACTATAATTAAAAGGGCAGTCTCCCAAGGGCGCCTGACAGCTGGGTAGACAGCCCTTCGGATTCATAGTCCTGAGGTTCCGGGTTCGATGCCCGGTGGAAGCGGAGACAAATGGGCAAAATGTTACTTTCACCCGTGATGCTCCTGTTCACCTAGCAGTAAATAGGTACCTGGGAGTTAGTCAGCTGCTACGGACTGCTTCCTGGGGGTGTGTGACATAAAAGGAGACCTGGTCGAGGACCGGACCGCGGGGACGCTAAGCCCCGAAATCATCAAGGTAACCTCAGGATAACCTCCACTGTCTGCAGGAATCTATCCCGACTTCTAATCATAGGAGACTTTATCCATATAAAGATGGATTGGGAGAACCAGAGACCACATGGAGATATGGAGAGGTAAACTAGTGGACGAGGCAACAAGAAACAAGCCAGCACATGAGGGGTCCATGAGGGGTCCATGAGGGGTCCATGAGGGGACCCCACAAGAATGAGAGCCAATGAGGAACCAGCGAGACTTGACCCAGTATTCACTCTCAAAGAGTCGCACACAAGAGACATCAATGAGTTAGCAGCCATGAGGATGAGCCATCAGAGTGTACTCATGTCTGGATTATGAGTGCAAGTTGGGAGAACTTTCTCCCTTTCTTGACTAAGTTAAGGTAATCATGAGGAGAAGCACTAAGCCAGCATTACAATACAGCACTCTGAAGGGACATGAAGACATGGGGCCAGATTCACGAAGCAGTTACGCAAGTACTTACGAACGTGTACATCTTTCCTCCATCTTTGGCGGCTTTGGTTACATTAAACAGTTTACAAGCATGAAAACTTCCCAATCAACTGTTGTTATTGTTATAAACAGCCTCCTGGTGCTTCGGAGCTCATTAACTGTTTAATAATTGTAAACAAAGCCGCCAAAAATTGAGACAAGATGTACACGTTTGTAAGTGCTTGCGTAAGTGCTTTCGTGAATCTGGCCCCTGGATCTGGGAAGGCAGCCCATCGTCCTGTGTGGTAGTACTTACAGTGACGACGAGGACCATAGTACATAAACCCACTTACAACCAAATTAGTAGCAATCTGAACTATTGAGTTGGACAAACAAGAAAACTATTTTTTTGACTTGTGTTACTTTGACAAACTAAACTTAACCTAACTTCCCTAGGCCTAATATGCGATATCTGAGGCCTAATATGCGATATCTGAGGCCTAATATGCGATATCTGAGGCCTAATATGCGATATCTGAGGCCTAATATGCGATATCTGAGGCCTAATATGCGATATCTGAGGCCTAATATGCGATATCTGAGGCCTAATATGCGATATCTGAGGCCTAATATGCGATATCTGAGGCCTAATATGCGATATCTGAGGCCTAATATGCGATATCTGAGGCCTAATATGCGATATCTGAGGCCTAATATGCGATATCTGAGGCCTAATATGCGATATCTGAGGCCTAATATGCGATATCTGAGGCCTAATATGCGATATCTGAGGCCTAATATGCGACATCTGAGGCCTAATATGCGATATCTGAGGCCTAATATGCGATATCTGAGGCCTAATATGCGATATCTGAGGCCTAATATGCGATATCTGAGGCCTAATATGCGATATCTGAGGCCTAATATGCGATATCTGAGGCCTAATATGCGATATCTGAGGCCTAATATGCGATATCTGAGGCCTAATATGCGATATCTGAGGCCTAATATGCGATATCTGAGGCCTAATATGCGACATCTGAGGCCTAATATGCGATATCTGAGGCCTAATATGCGACATCTGAGGCCTAATATAGTACATGAGTGTGCTATACTAGGGCCTAGGAATATTTAAGTTAGTTTTTTTGGCTTCATTTATTTTAAAAGAATTCCTCGCTAGTCAGTATACTACTATGTAACAGCTAAGTACGAATTATGACTGTTGAGGACCGCCACAACAGATACTGTATAAACAGGAGTAGTTGGAGAACACGGTGGAGGGAAAGAATTGTGCACAACCTCTTGGACCATCAGGGAACGAACTCGGCTCTGCAAGAAGCGAGATCTCCGCTGTACCGACCAGTCAAAGTGGTTGGGCACAATTCCTTCCCTCCACCTTATTGCCAGATCCATGTCCTCCTATCCCGTCTCAGTGCTATATTATAATACTGGCAGAGTGCTTTTATTTATGATTACCTTATCTTACCTTAGTCAAGAAAGGGACCAGAAAACAAAAGACTGGCATTGCAAAAGGGAAATAAGAAAATTCCTAATAGAAATACCATAGATAACAGAGCTGAAGGTCAAGACTGGACAAGACATGACAGACGTCATCACCCAGCAGCGTCAGGAAGCAGCACACAAGTTTGTCACGGCCCAAATGGGGGGAAAAATATCGAAATGCCCAGGTGACACCCCTGGGTTAATCAGGGATACAAGCTGGCTGACCAACTACCCCAAATTGCTTCACAGCTACGTCAGGAGGACAGCTACGTCAGGAGGATAGAAACAGTGAAGGATGTTTACCAGACCACACTAGAAGGTGAAGGGACGACGACGTTTCGACCTGAATGGTCCAGGACGGACAGAAACGTCGTCGTCCCTTCACCTTCCAGTGTGTGGTCTGGTGAACATACTTCAGCCACGTTATTGTGACTCATCGCCTGCAATAGTGAAGAACAGGTAATAACACTAAGAACAGAAGCAGACACATTTACAGAGTATGAGAAGGTGAGCAAGAACGAGAGATTCCAGGAAGTCTTCACCTAATTTGCGACTGGAGCTCAGAGCCCAAACCAAACGGGCATTTACAGGAAACCCTCTACCTGTTGACGATTTCCGGGATCAGTTTCCCCGCTGCCCGGTCTGTTACCAGGCCTCCTGGTTGCTGGTTTTATCAGCCAGGCTGTTCGATGCGGCTGCTCGCAGCCTGACATGTGAGTTTTATCCTGATTGATCAGGTATCTTTTGAGGTGATTCTCGAGGTGCCGCCTCACTGAAATGATTGACGACAGAAGTAAAGAAGCAACTACAGGAACCGGATGTAACAAAAGTGGTGACCTGGCAAAATATCTCCAGGGATACTAAAAGAGGCAGCTGAAGCATTGTGGAGCCCACTTGCCATAATCTTTAATTCCTCTCAGAATTCGGGAGAACTTCCTGAAAGCTTGAAAACTGCAAATGTGATGCTAATCTACAAGAAAGTGGGGAGGCAAACGTTAAACTACAGCCTTGTGTCACAAGTATCCCTTACAAGTATCCCTTACAAGTAAATATAGACCGAGTTGAAGCAAGCTATTAGAACATTCAGAACAGATGAATTTTGTCTCAAAACATCAGAAGTAAAGGAAAATCTTGCCTGAAAAAACTTGCTGCAATTCTACAATAAGATAGAAATCAAACATAACAGAAGAATGAGCAGACTGCATATTCCTGGACTGTCGGAAATCATTTGATACTGTCCTGCACAAACGATTCCTACTCAAACTAGAGAAGCAAGCTGTCATAAGGTGGGTCAGGGAGTATCTCACAGGAAGGAACCAAAGGGTTATAGTGAGGGGAGACACATCATAGAGGAGAGAGGTTACAAGTGGAGTACCCCAAGGGTCGGTTCTAGGACCCATTCTGTTTCTAATATACGCTACAACCTCACGGGAGAAATTTGGTCCTTCATATCAATGTTTTCAGATAATGCAAAACTAATGAGGAGTAAGGATAGGGATTGTGATGTATTGCAAACGAATTTAGACACTCCAAAAATGGTCAGAAAACTGGATGCTAGAATTTAACCGAGAGAAATGTAATGTTATGTAGATTGAAGCAGAAATGTGATGACCAGTACAGCAGTATAGGATGAAGGGAAGACACTGCAAGCACATCTAGAGTAGCACCTCACACGCATGCATACACATGTGCGCACACACACACGCGCGCGCGCGCGCGCACACACGCTCGCACACACACGCACACGCTCGCACACACACACACACGCACACACATGCAGTGACCTTACCTCAACACAGAGCAGCACAGCCCGGTGCACAGCAGGGATGTCGACCACAATGTACACCGGCGAGTCGAACCTGCGGTAGCGTGTTGGGGTGACGGAGCTGGAGCGTGACGACCCCCGCAGGTCTTCGCCGCCACCGCCGCCACGTGCCTGCAGGCAGGAGGGCAGGGCGGAGAGCGGCAGCGCCTCCTCCATGCCCGCCACGGCGGCATAGTTGGTGGGGGGCGCGATGGGGGAGAGCGCCGGCGATCGCAGGCGTGGGGAGGGGATGGAGTGGGGGGAATAGGGCGAACCAGGAGACAGAAAGGGGGAATTGGGTCTCTGGGAGACCGGGGAGACGTGTGAGGAGGCCGGGGAGCCCAAGTTCCTGGGGGAACCTATCCCTGGGGAGTGTAGGGGCGTGGAGGCGGCGATGTTGTGGGCGGAGTGTGAGGGCGAGAGGAGGGGGGAGGCGAAGTGGTGTGGGGAGAGGTGTGTGGTGGGGGAGAGGTGGGGGCTGGGCGGGAGAGTGAGCTGGGCCGACAGCAAGCCAGTATGGAGCTCCGAGGTGGCCGTGGGCGAGCGGCCGATGGGCGTGGGTCGAGGCACCAGCAGCGTGGACATGCTCTCGAAGGTGACGCGCGGCACCGAGCGCGAGCGCTGCCTGAAGGGCGGTGGCGTCGGCGGCAGGTCCTGGTCGTCGAGGCGCTCGTACGACGGCAGGTTCTGCAGCTGCCGCTGGAATGCCACGATGTCCTCCTCGCAGAGCGTCAGGTCGTCGCGGGACTGGGCGATGTTGGGCGTCGACCCGGAGGAGTTGATCTGGTCGTGGACCGACTTGGACCTCTTCTTATGCAGGCTCGAGAACCTGAAGCTCCTCTTCTGGAAGAACGAGGGCGAGCCAGAGGGCGTCGTGCCCTTGGAGGAGCTGCTGATGGAGTTGTGGGAGTCCGCGGCCCTCAGACGCGAGGGCAGGAGCTGCTGCAGCGTGACGCTCACGTCGTTGGTGCTGATGGCCGCCAGGGTGTCCCTGAGCCTCCGCCCTGATCCAGGCCCCGACAGTGCGCTCCCTGGCGTGGACGCCTTCCTGTGGTGGTGTTTGGATGGCGCCTCTTCACTGTTGGCACGAAGCACTGCAGGGGACACCCGGCTCCTCTCCACATGCTCCGGGGGCGCCGGCTCCTCGGGGCAGGCTTCCGCGAAGTCCAGGGTGAGGTTGACCCGTCGTCTCTTGCGGAGTGTGGAGGCGTCGGTCTCTGACGAGGAGGTGCGCGACCGCGCGCGAAAGACCTCAGAGGAATAGGAAGTCCAGGAGGAGCGGGAGGTGCACGACTTCCACTTGGTGAGGTGGTGCATGGAGGTGAGGAGGCGGTGGAGGAGGAGGCGCAGGAAGATGACGGGATGGAGAACAAGAGGCAGGCCCAGCATGAGGCAGGACAGAAATCGCCGGCCCATCGGCCCGTCGTCTCGCCCAGACACACGCTTCCCGCCTCGTCCACCTACACCTGCAACATAAATACCTTGTTATTGTCCCATATTGCTGAAATTGCCACATTGCAAATATGCCACGGAAAATGAGGCCATCTGGCCCCCAAATAAAAGTACCATTTGTTTAACATTAAAATGATCATTCCTATGCATTCTTCAGTTCCCTATATAAAGGTTATCGCATGGGATTATCCTTATGGTTTGAGACGTGTTTAAGAGAACATAGACGAGCCGTGTGTCTCAGCAGGTCCAAAAGCTCAGTGGAGTGGGTGACTGAAGACATGTTATGGTGTCCTGAGCCATGGACAGTTAATGGAGTATTAAGACACGTAAGTTGACCAGACCACACACTAGAAGGTAAAGGGACGACGACGTTTCCGTCCGTCCTGTACCATTCTCAAGTCGATTTGAAAATGGTCCAGGACGGACCAAAACGTCGTCGTCCCTTCACCTTCTAGTGTGTGGTCTGGTAAACTTACTTTTGCCACGTTATTGTGACTCATTCCCTGCAATACTCAATTAACTTAATAAACCAAAGTGCAGAAGGCCTATTGACCAATACAAGGCAGCGTCTATTCATATCCACCCAAACGCATTTACGCATGTAAAATATGTTCGGAACACTCCATCGATCCCACGTTCATTATATTATTTGGTAATTTGCTACAAAAATTTATGACCGTTCCTAAACCAGTATTTAAACAGGTCTTTAGTAAATCAAACCTTATACAATTTTTACCCATTGTTTAGTGTTCTATTTTGAGTTGGACCACGACTCTGCCATCGCCACTGATGTCATGGACTCACCCGGAGCTCTTACAGTATTAAGTCTCAAAATAATAGTAATATTTGTCCTATATACAGAAAATTTGACACACTAAGAGATCTCTCCATTAATCCAGTGCTCTTACAGCCCTGTATAGTCAAACTGACTAAGGATCACTTAAAGTTTGCCTGAGGGGTTATCTTGAGGTTATCTTGAGATGATTTCGGGGCTTTAGTGTCCCCGCGGCCCGGTCCTCGACCAGGCCTCCACCCCCAGGAAGCAGCCAATGACAGATGACTAACTCCCAGGTACCTATTTTACTGCTAAGTAACAGGGGCATAGGATGAAAGAAACTCCCCATTGTTCCTCGCCGGCGCCCGGGATCGAACCCTGGACCACAGAATCACAAGTCCAGCGTGCTGTCCGCTCGGCCGACCGGCTCCCAGGGAATAAGATTTAGTGGGGTCTTTGACAACTTTGCAACAATACCACAAAGTTTGGCCAATGACTGATCAACACTACAACAGCAGTTTCCAAACCCATAGCGGGAACCTCTGTACTGTTAGCTGAAAAGATAAATGATTTGTTAAGGACACGTTGACCGTCTCGCAGTGCCCAGGACCTGAACCTGTTGGGTAGGGGCTCACCACGCTGGCTACTGTGCTACGTGGACGGCTCTCCGTCATGAACCTTACCAGCCACGGGGCCCAACAAGTCCCACAGGGTGATGTACCAGCCCGGAACAACCTAAAGAAAACGGTCAATTTAAAGTGGTCTCCCCTACCCTACCAGACGACCCAAAACAGAAAACTGGGCAGTATGTCACTTTCGCCAACCGCTTCCATAATCTAGTACGATCATTTTTAGCCTTATGTAACGCATACGTGCGAAAAGCGACGTTCTTTGTAGGAGGACATACGCAGACCTCTGTGTATATCATATACAGAAAGGTCTGGGGAAAATATTATTCTTGTTTTGTAAATTACTGATCAATTAAATAATCATTAAGCACAAGTCAGTAGCTTGAGTGACTTTACTGGAGAGAAAACGGCTCCAGATGACAATAATATGATCACTGACCGTCACATTAACTACTAATAACCCATTATGACACTAAATTACAACTATCCAGCACCAGAAAGTTGACCTTAATTGTGAGAGATTAAAACACTTAAAGAAGTTATGAAGAAATTACTTACGAACGAACAAAGACTTTCATCCTCAGATCTCTTAATATTCAAACCAAAACAGACCGATAAAGTTGTATTAATCTAAAAGTTACAAACTTTAAAGATTCCAATGCGTCGTAAATTGAATATCCAAGTATCCAAAATTACATCATTTGATCACATTTTAGTGACAGTATTGGCTAATATTATAACCAAAATAATGGAATTTTTAATAGGCCAAATGGAATCCAATTGGTCAAGACCTGGCTGCCAGACCTGGCTGCCAGACCACAGACTGCCAGTTACAACCTGTTTCAGGAGTTAGAGGCTACAGTTAAGGACTGCCGCCTAGTCAATCCTCCCCGGCCAGGATAGGAACCCAGATCAAATCGCGCTCGGGACAGGTAGTCTCACCACTGCGCCACGGGTTCATTACTCGCCACGCTCATAAAACCTGCGCATTGTCCTCTTCTAGAATTAGAACAGTTGTGAGTGGCAGCACCTCTCATATTACCTGGAGAGGCAAGTTACCTCTTGTGGATCTCTGACCTGTGGCACTCTGTGTCGGTGCCGCATGGTGCCAAGTGGGAGAGATGAGCCTGTCCGGCTGTTACACGAGAGAATGGGATGGTTAACCCCCCCCCCTCCCACACACGGCCCCATGTCCCCCCCCCCTTCCCTTCACCTGAACCTCTGTATGGCTACACCAATCAAAACCCGGGGTCAGACGCGTCCAATAATTCGGCGGAATTCACTTCAGTTTTGGGTTTGTTGACCTAAACTATTTTACTCTTGATGGCCGGAGTTGTGTGGCATATTGCACTGGTCATGTCACTGTACCTTCACTACAGTGTCATCACTGTACCTTCACTACAGTGTCATCACTGTACCTTCACTACACAATCACTGTACCTTCACTACACACGGTCATCACTGTACCTTCACTACACTACAGTCATCACTGTACCTTCACTACACTACAGTCATCACTGTACCTTCACTACACTACAGTCATCACTGTACCTTCACTACACTACAGTCATCACTGTACCTTCACTACACTACAGTCATCACTGTACCTTCACTACACTACAGTCATCACTGTACCTTCACTACACTACAATCACTGTACCTTCACTACACACAGTCATCACTGTACCTTCACTACACACAATCACTGTACCTTCACTACACACAGTCATCACTGTACCTTCACTACACACAGTCATCACTGTACCTTCACTACACACAGTCATCACTGTACCTTCACTACACACAGTCATCACTGTACCTTCACTACACACAGTCATCACTGTACCTTCACTACACACAGTCATCACTGTACCTTCACTACACACAGTCACCACTGTACCTTCACTACACACAGTCACCACTGTACCTTCACTACACACAGTCACCACTGTACCTTCACTACACACAGTCATCACTGTACCTTCACTACACACAGTCATCACTGTACCTTCACTACACACAGTCATCACTGTACCTTCACTACACACAGTCATCACTGTACCTTCACTACACACAGTCATCACTGTACCTTCACTACACACAGTCATCACTGTACCTTCACTACACAGTCATCACTGTACCTTCACTACACACTGTCATCACTGTACCTTCACTACACACAGTCATCACTGTACCTTCACTACACACAGTCATCACTGTACCTTCACTACACACAGTCATCACTGTACCTTCACTACACACAGTCATCACTGTACCTTCACTACACACACAGTCATCACTGTACCTTCACTACACACCACAGTCATCACTGTACCTTCACTAACACACAGTCGTCACTGTACCTTCACTACACAGTCGTCACTGTACCTTCACTACACTACAGTCATCACTGTACCTTCACTACACACACAGTCATCACTGTACCTTCACTACACACACAGTCATCACTGTACCTTCACTACACACAATCACTGTACCTTCACTACACACTGTCATCACTGTACCTTCACTACACACAGTCATCACTGTACCTTCACTACACACAGTCATCACTGTACCTTCACTACACACAGTCATCACTGTACCTTCACTACACAGTCATCACTGTACCTTCACTACACACAGTCACCACTGTACCTTCACTACACACAGTCACCACTGTACCTTCACTACACACCACAGTCGTCACTGTACCTTCACTACACACCACAGTCATCACTGTACCTTCACTACACACCACAGTCATCACTGTACCTTCACTACACACCACAGTCATCACTGTACCTTCACTACACACAGTCACCACTGTACCTTCACTACACACAGTCATCACTGTACCTTCACTACACACAGTCATCACTGTACCTTCACTACACACAGTCATCACTGTACCTTCACTACACACAGTCATCACTGTACCTTCACTACACACAGTCATCACTGTACCTTCACTACACACAGTCATCACTGTACCTTCACTACACACAGTCATCACTGTACCTTCACTACACACAGTCATCACTGTACCTTCACTACACACAGTCACCACTGTACCTTCACTACACACAGTCACCACTGTACCTTCACTACACACAGTCACCACTGTACCTTCACTACACACAGTCACCACTGTACCTTCACTACACACAGTCACCACTGTACCTTCACTACACACAGTCACCACTGTACCTTCACTACACACAGTCACCACTGTACCTTCACTACACACCACAGTCATCACTGTACCTTCACTACACACCACAGTCATCACTGTACCTTCACTACACACAGTCATCACTGTACCTTCACTACACAGTCATCACTGTACCTTCACTACACAGTCATCACTGTACCTTCACTACACACCACAGTCATCACTGTACCTTCACTACACACCACAGTCATCACTATACCTTCACTACACAGTCATCACTGTACCTTCACTACACACCACAGTCATCACTGTACCTTCACTAACACACAGTCACTGTACCTTCACTACACAGTCGTCACTGTACCTTCACTACACTACAGTCATCACTGTACCTTCACTACACACACAATCACTGTACCTTCACTACACACACAG